GATGAGGAATTAATCGACAACTTAATATGGAAGACAACTCCATTAATTCTTTCATTGATGATGAGTTTATGCTATCATCACTTTCATCAAATGTATGAATGCATTAAGAAAAAAGGAGGGAAAATTTTTTGGAAATGAGAGGGTTTTGGAGATTAATGAAATTGAGGTGATTATTATAATATTGTCATTTGTGAGTCAAACCTTGGTGGTATTTGCTGACGGAATCCCACAAAACGTGAATATTGTCATTTGTGGCGAGATTATGCTAAAAAAAAGTGCAATTGGGCTAATCTTGGCATCTCACTTAAATAGGCCAGACAACCACAACCACCAAATTATAATTTTTCAATTTTTTTTACACACGCAAAGAAAAATTCCAACTAAAAGCCGTCAGCCGCAACAAATAAATATATCTACCAAAAATTTCAGATAAACAAATCACAAAAACTTACCAAATTCACGTAACAAATCAGAAGAGGGATCAAAAGGCAGATCACAAACTTACCATAGTTAGACCAAAGTAGGCTTCTCAGGAACTTTACCATTCATAGTAACATTTTCTTTCCCTAGAGATATGGTAGAAATAGAACGTATTCATTCTTTCAATTTTTATCTTCATCACGTACACACACAAAAGTTTTGCCAAGGTCAAAACATAATTTCACGTGTGAGGCTGGGCCACCGATACTATATTGGTGAAATGAAACAAGGACTTGAGAGTTGAAGTGATGATTCATATTAAAAAAGTTTTGTGACCTTTTCATCTTTTTCTCTTCATCCAATTGAAAGTTGAAAGTTGCATATATTTTGCTGAGTAGTGGCTGGCCTAGTTATGGAAGTCGTTCAAGTAGCCTTTATTCGTCTTTTTTTTTTTTGGTCACATTTTGCAATTGGTTGATTGTGAAATTCCCATCCCCTTCATGGTTTATTGATAGAAGTATAAACTAGGTATTATACTCGTCCGATGGACGGGGAAGGCATACACATTTAGACATTTTTATATAAATTTTGTATTTTTATAAAATATGTAATGATTTCAGTTTTAAACATGATTACCTCTGGGTTTACAGGAATTTGTTTTTTTTAAATGACATTTTAAATTCACTGGTGACAATGTTTATGCAGATCTCTCTAAAATTTGTTAGGATTTGGTACTCTCTCCAATCAATCTCTGTGTTAGGATTTGGTTCATGAAAATAAAGGTTCGGTTTTTATTATTTTATTTTTTTAAAATTATTTTAGTTGCTTTTTTTTTGGTTTTATTATTTTGTTTTGTGTATTTTTAAGTCTAAGAAATTAAGAAAATACCACATAAGATTAAATCCTATGTGACATATGCTCCATGCCTTTAGTTTTCTCTTTTTGGTTTTTACCTTAGTATAGTATATAAAAGATATGTTACGTATATATATACGTGTCAATTTTACCTTCTCTTTTTTTAATATTATACTCTGAATTTATCGTCTCAACTAATTTGGATACTATGAAGTTAAACACCTTGCAAATTCAAATTCCAGATGATGAATAATGGAAATACGTGTATGTAACTCGGTTCAAATGATGAATCTTCTCTCCATTATCTCTTTCCTTCTTCTTCTTCTTCTCAATCTTCTCATATTTTTCTCAGTCTTCGCATTTTCCTTATCCTTCTCACTAATATTCATTTGTATCTGTATCTTGTTATCCTAATTCATATGTGGAACTTGGAGTCCTCCTTGCGTGAGGATTAAATTAGTCAGCAATCAATCTCTACAAATGCACCCGAAATCCTAAAATACATACCAGGAATAAGGTTGTTTACTATTACTTCCGTCCCAAAAAAATAGTCCACATTGAATTTTCAAATTTACACTAAAAAAAGTACAAAACTCAAAACTTAATGTGAATTATTTTTGTGAGACGGAAGGAGTAATAATTAACCGTAAACTAAATGTTAGCAAGCGAGAAAAGAACTTCGATCAATTCTCATTTTTTGTCCATCTTTTTCCAATACCAAAAACTATGTTATCCGAGAAATATCAACTAATCTATGTTATGCGTAGTGATGTATACTTGCAAATTTTAATCGCAAAGTCAAAAAACTTAAAACTCTGTACGACTCGGTTATGCCTTATTCTTTTGTTTGCATACTCAATGTTGTACATTATATGTTTGAAGTCTTTTTTTTTTTTTTTTTTTAAACCTAAAAACCAATATTCCCTTCATCCCAGAAAAACAATTCACATTACAATTCGTGATATAATTCTGAAATTACAATGTTTACTATCTTTATGGGATAGAAGGAGTAATAAATTTTGGAGTTCATCTTATTTTACATGAAGAAGGTGTTGATTTGGGTAGTGTGTCGGTTGACCCAAAATAGCCAACCCAAAATGAGTAGTACTAAACCAGTTGAGTTTTCCCTCTAATGTCTTAAGGGATTGTAACTTGTTGCTGCTAAAGCAATTGACCTTTACGTACCTTACTGATATCAATGACAATGTTTTATGTTCTTAATCCAATTAGTTCTTCTTTTATATAGTTTTTGAATGTTAATTTGATATTACCAGAATGACTAAGATCCTCCAAGTGTTACTCTCGCTCAGAACCTATCTAAAAGCCAAGGAAAGTAAATTAATTAAATTTTGTATGGATTTATCCCTTATAAATAAGATTTAGAAATTATTATATCACAATCGAATGTTTTTCTCGATCGCGATAGTAATCGGATCAAGGAGAAAGAGATGGAGTTCGTGAAGCCTTAATTAATCATTTAGGAATAGGAATTTACAAATCAGAAATGATAAAGAGAGCCATGATTCAAGGCTAGCTCCACTAGTCATCGTTATTTTTTATATATATATTTTTTGAAGGAAGATATAAAGAAAAACAATGCTATTATTAGGGCTGGATCTGATGGCAGGATTAGTATTAGGGATGAAAATACAATATTTGCGGGGCTAATCATAGTACCCGTACATGCGCCTAAATACAAATCATCACAAACTGGTTTTTATCTGAATATTGGAGACAGCCTTGTCTGCCATCTGGAATACCAAACCATTAATTGTTCTTACTAGTACTGATTAAAAATATTAAAACTTCCCTAAATAAACTTCGAAAAATTAATGACTTCCTAATCATCCGTACGAAAGTCTTTCTTTTTCTTTTTTCTTTTTTCTTTTTTTTTTTTTTAAATTTGTATCATGATTCATTTATCTTCCTGTAACATTTCTTAAGGGGAAAAAAAGAATCTGATTCCTGACAAAAAGAGAAGAGCTTATTTGTGCTCCATATTAAAGGAATTAAAAGAAAATGATCAAAGCCAAATGTTGCGGTACAAAGTACAAACTACCCAAAGAAGAACAGAAAAGGGAAAAAAAAAAAAAAAAAAACCCGTCGGCATGAGCAATAAAATGGTGTGCACCAACGATTCCAAATCAACTTTAAATGATTATACCTTCTTTTGATTCTTGTCTTCATTTGCATCATTATTTTTAATTTCGTTTCCCTTTCGTCTCCCTTGTATGTGACTGTTCTTTCAAGTAAATCGTGCTCCATGAATGCCAGTAGACAATTATTGTCTTGTTTGAAATTTTATTTTTAATACAATTTATTTTAAAAATGCGAATCCAAACCACATAATCGTTTTGGGATGAAAGAAATTAAGTATTCTCTCCGTCCTGAAATTATTGTCTAGTTTTAGTACAAATTAAATTAAAATGAGAATATAAACTAGATCAATAATTTTGAAACAGTTCAACAGATAGGAGTATTATATATCTTAGTGACGTTTATTATCAACTACTGCTAGTCTGCTACAAGTATTGAAATTGGAATTTAACTAAAGCTATGACTACGTTTTATTCTTTTGGTAAATTGCTATAACTACATCTTGAGCTTCAAACAGCCCAATTTTTTTAAGCGCGAGTGAGCGCTAATTGGCTACAGTCGTTGTGCTGGTGTAGCTTGAACTCCTTACTCACAGATTAAATAGATGCAGGCCCCCATTTTCAATGCTAATTCAAATCTATGGCGATGAGTCCAACTCCAAATCAGGGCTCAGCCCAAATATCTCGTGTTACAGTTTTTCACTTGGAAGTAGGAAATGCAGATTAAGGGGATTAGGAATGTACATTAAATTGGACAGTGGAATTAAAACACGTCCACATAGAATGTAATTTTATAACTTGAAAATTCAGCAGCTTTTGGTTCAACTAGATTCCCAATCACCATGGCCAATAAGATGGTTTTAACCATCGATATGTTGTATTAATATGAAATTATGAAATCCCTTTTCGACAAAAAAAAAAAAAAAAAAGGTTTCCTCTCCTTCAAATTTGATAACCGAAGAATTGACAATTCAAAATTGTCCAGTTAAAAGTAGCTCTTAATTCTGTCCCAAAATAGTCCACTTTGCTAATCTTTATTTAGTTATTTTAAGACTATTTTAATGAATGAATGAACTATTTTTTTTGGACGGAAAAAATCGAGTGTTTTTTTTTCTTTTGTTCAAACCCAGAAAAGCAACGAAGTTCAGTAGCTTACAGGATGATAAAGCCCGAACATTGAGAGGAACAACTCGCGTAATCGTTTTCATTTTTTCCCTTGAAAACAAATCACATAGTCGGATGTCCAATGGATGGAGAAAAATATGCTGTCAGCATAGGATTTTTACCTGTTCTTGGAGATTTTTCACAGCGAACTGAAATAGATAGCAAGAGAGCTTTCAGTTCAATCACTTTGTTGTCCAGTCCCTTTAAGCTAGAGAAAAGTTATAACAATGATTTAACGTGAACATATACCTCAAATTTTTATTATAAAAATGGCAAATCCATTATCCAGGTCAATAATTAAGTTTAATATTCTTGTCTTGCATAATACTTAATTATTATAGCAATGGTGGAAGCAAATTAAAGGGACGGAAAACCATCAACAACATCTATATATATAGAAATAAAAAGGAGAAGCACTGAAGCCATGCTTTTTCTTTCCTCATTTGAAATGATTATTTCAGTCACAGCATCCAGCCCGGAACAATTCCATTCATGTTTGGAGCATTTGTCACCGCGGTCATTTGGCTTGTACTCACCGGATTATACCTGTTTTAGGAGCAATATGATTAGGTTAAGAATGCCTGAAGAAATCTTCTTACACTTATTTTATAACGGGCGTGAGGAGACTAAAGCTTTGCATGCTTACCCTATTTGCAAGCCTGAACTACATTCTAGAGGCTGAAAAAACCCCTGAGATTGAGAATGCTGCTGGCTGTATGTACTGCTCTGCTCGCCACCGCCACCTCCACCACCACCGCCTCCCCAGGACTGGCGAAGATGATTCTCGGTGTAAATTTCTTCCAACTGGAAACAACACAGTGGCGAATGAGATTCTTACAAACTTGCCCACAAGGCTAATATTCAAAGAGTTTGCACAAGGAAAAATGTATGAGTCGCTTTCCCCTACCTTCCTTTCTAGTGCCTTGTTAGCATCAAGCCATAACTTTTCCTGTTTCACACAAAGTGGAAGTCAACAACAAGAGTAATAAAAGAAATGGAGTAAAAAGAGTATTCAGTACTACAATCATTCAGAACCTTTGCTTGGAGATCCGTAAGCTGATCAAGCATCACTTGTGTCTGTAAATGAAGGCACCAAAATCATGTCAGATTTCAAAATTCAGTACTGCAACACAAGTATGCATATGGATTGAAAGATTTCCGCTATAAAACCACACAAAAAGCAGAAGGAAATAAAACTGAGATCCCATTGAAACTGTCAATCCTAAGTTCCAACAGAGAGAATCATTTCAAGGAAATCTAAACATTTCAGATGTCTTATTTCAGTGATGAACATACATCTGTGCAAATCGAGAACAAGTGAGACATGTGAACTGGGACAAAGGAGCTGATCAACTACATGATTTATTGAGATTATAAACTGCTTTTGCTGAGGATTTTTGTTTTTTTTTTCAAATGACACAAAAGGGATCAATACAAGTTTTCCTACTATCATAGCTATAGCCAGAATTATATGATCAAGACCAACCACCTTCATGAGAAAGCTGGTAATGCATGATGATATAGGTAGTAGCATGCTGTCAAAACTAAAAAATATCTTAATAATTCGGCCAGGTAGCTGCTCCAAAAGTCAGTAATAGCTCAAATGCATCTGGAATTGACCATAAAACAATTTCCTTAATAAAATGGGGATAAATCTCCTTACCCTGGTAGTCCTCACAAGCTTCAAGGATGACTCTAGTTGAAGTTCAAGATTTTGAAGTTCATTCATATCTAGAGGTCCCAAGTCATCTCCAAGAAGATGTCTGCAATGAGAATGGTTGATCAAGATGTTGACATTTCACTCCAAACAGATAACCGACCATTTCACACTAAAATGAAACTTTAAACTACCTATACTAAGCAAATTGTTAGTGTTGAGGCTAGCTAGCTACTCTTACAATTATTACCTTTGATATCGTTGTAGTGACTCGTATTTGCCTTTGAGCTTCAAGTACTCCTTGTAGCTGCTTTGCTGTAGTACACAACAAATAAGCTTGTGATAAAACTAGCAAAGTAATAAAAAACAGCATAAAACAGCATACTCCTAGAACCTGTACAAGAAAAGTTTTACTAGGGTACTCATATTACCTCTATCTCTTTGGCGGCATTGTTAACTTCCACGGCCCCATAACTGCATCTTTGATACCTCTCAAGGGTTTTGAGCATGCTGCTATGAAAGTCATCAAAGGATGCTTTTATCAGACAAGAGTACTTTAAAGAGTCTTGAGACTATATGATATTAACCAAGATTTGTTCCAATTCATCATTTTCGTTATTGCTAACAAATCAAGAAGTCTTTCAACTTTGTTTTAGGTCACAGAGTGAAATAAAAAGAATCGAAAGCAGGACCATTACCGTGTGAAAATGTGAAGAACTAACAAAACCGTTACAAAAAGGATCACTAAATTTAGGTTCAGTATGGACTTCATTTCCTTTTACATCATTGTGGAGATCCAAAGATGTTATGCATTTTTGTGTGGATTATGTTTTGATATAATTCCATGAATGTTAACATATTCGGTGCATATTTTTTCCATACATCCAATATCAATTTTTTTGTGCGTCCAATACAAAAATACAAATATGACCACCATCCATGTAAATCTATTTAAATATAAAACACATTTTAAATATATCAATCTTATTTTATCTTAATGAAACTCATAGACATAAAACAACATCAAAACTGAAATTTCAAGGTAGATGATCAAACATTTTTCTTCAATATGCATCCCTAAGAACCTCATATCCTTATTTAAGATGGCTTAAAAATGGTGATAGAAAGGGGGAAAAAAGGATATAGCAAAATTCCTCCTAATCCTTGTTAATACCCGTGATGAAGGTGGAAGATTAACAGTCATGCTAACCCAGTTATAATGAGAAACATGCATGTTAAAGCATTGCTTTACAAAAAGAAACTAAAAAAATATACTTTCAAGATCAAGTAAATTGTATTCTTTGATCTAAGTACCAACAATAAACTTACCAACTGGCATTGAGCAAGGAAGATTTGACATATATCGTTAGAAAGAAATCTTTTACAATTGGAAGATTTTAATATTTGAGAATCAGGACAGAGATCAGAAATGAGTTTGGTAAATAGATGCCATGCGTTTAGGAAACATCCAAATTTATGATGGTCAATAAGGGTACTTTGATCTTTCATCTCTTAGTCCCAAGAGGCATCTCTCAAATTTCAAATCTTTTTCTTTCTTTCTTTTTTTTTTTTTTTTTGTAAAACAAACTTCAAATCTCATGATTGAAAGATGGCAAAACCAAAATTTTTTGTAAAGATCACAGCTTTATCAAACAGTTAATAAACAGATCTTCTCGGAAATAAAGATTCACAGATTTCAAGAAAAATTGCAGCTTCCATCTGGCTGCATCATGCAAGAGTTAATTAAGACATTCTACTATCTGAAAGATAATGCAAGAGCCAAGAAATCTTCATTTCAGGTTGAAACAATAATCAATAATTGGAAAGCTCCTCCTATATGTGATTCCGGACTCCATTAACCCCATCCATTTCCCTAAATTTATTTTACTTTCTGTATGTACTTTGTTACCTTACCATCAAAATAAGTACTCATCAAACTTCTTAAAGAGTTTGCCAATCATAAATGATTTATTACCCTTTTTTTTATCAAGATTTATTACACTTTTATATGAACCAAAAGCCCTTCAATTGTACCTTCGTCTTTTTCTTTTTTTCTTTTTTTTTTGTTTTTTTTTTTTGTAAAGGATGAAGACATATGGACCGAAGACAAAAGCAAAAAAATCAATCACAAAAGAGAGATTTGGTCATGGTAAAAAAAAAAAAAAGTTTTTCTTCAATTAGGTATATTAATTCACCATCCTTTGCCTGCTTACTTGGTTGAATCAGGGTCAACATATTAGATTCACATTCAATTGTTAATTCATTTCTGCCTTATCAACATACCATAAATTAGAAGCTTAATTTGTTCTTTGGGTCTCCAAAGAAAAAAAAAGAAAAAAAGAAGTGCTTGTAATTTGAATGATTCAGATACTTAACAAAACAAATGGGATCTTAAAGCTTAAGGATCCATCATAACCCAAAGAAGGTTCAAGGAAATCTCCAGCCAATTGACTTAACGGAGAAAAGAAATGGATGATTTGATTTCTGGAACAGATCCAAAATTCATCTAAACAAGAACTAGTTTAAAACCATTTAGGAAAACAGAATCAAAAAGATGAAGAAGATTATCAGAGAGGAGAGATGAAGAGCAAAATTTCATCCAAAAGGCAATGAATCAAGAAGAAACAAAAAAAAAAAAAAAAAAAAGTCAGAGAAACACATACTTGGAGCTGCTACAAAACTCATAGAGCTTGCCACGGTTAGAGAAGATGATAAGAGCAACCTCAGCATCACAAAGTACAGAGAGTTCATAAGCTTTCTTCAGCAAACCATTCCTCCTCTTTGCAAATGTGACCTGCCTATTTATTTTGTTCTCAATCCTCTTCAATTCTACTCTTCCCCTTCCCATGTTTTCCCACCTAGTTCCTCACTTAAATTTATCTATATCTTTTTATGTACTAGACCAAGTCCAACAATATGCCTTACCCTCTTAATTATTTCTCTATTTATAGTAAAGACTCCAACTTTATGAAAAATTACAGGGAATTCTTTTGCTTATTTATGAATTCAGATATCAAAGCTAAAATGGCATAGATGAAAAAAGGGTAGAGCCCTAGACCAGGTAGAAGATGAACCAAAGTACACAATAACACAACCCTTTTTATTATATTTGTAGGATGGAAAAAATTGGAATCTGGGTTTGGTTCTTTGTGTTGATTAAGAAGATCAACCATAGAATTATTATCATATGGATTGAAGAACCAGAGGCAAGAAAGAACTTAGGGTTGGAGTTCCTTTTTCTGTCATTCACTCATCCTCTGAAGCTCTTTTTCTATTATATCACTTTAATGATCTACTGTACTATTACAAAGATGTTAGAGTTTCGTGTGACTTTTTGGTGCGCGTGGGTTACACGTAACGTGTTTAGTGGTTGAAATTGTGTGTCACGCGGGTAGTGGAAAGTGGCGGTGGTGGATTTATGCTTTAGGTTCTGTCTATTCTTCCACACAAAAAAAATACTTAATAGAAATCTGGTAACGTCACTATGGTGTAATGACACGTGTCGGTGTATTAGTAGCTTAAGTACGTCGTTTAACCATGCAATTTAACTTTAGTGATAGTACGTACATATAAGAATGTAACATTTGCTACGTTGTACTTAATGTAAATTCTCATTACTTTTTTCTTTCTTTTCTTTTAAACTTTATTTATTTGATTCTTCCTATACATATTGCATTCCGAAGCAGTGAAATATGGAACTATGGCACTTACATATACTCTTTGGTCTCAAAAGATTAGTTTTATTTGTTACATTATTTCACGATTAACATTTTAATTGTTAATCTTGATACTGTTTGGTCTCAAAATATTAATTTTATTTATTGCATTATTTCATGAAAAATTATTTTAATTGTCCCTCCCTTGAGAAAAGCGTAATATATTCGTTGAATTTTGAAAATTCAGGAACAAAGAAAGTAAGAAACTCAACTCAAATATGTCGATCAAACGTACGAATGCCTTTAATATTAATGTCCAGAATTGGTTGTCTACTGTTCTTCTTATGTCCAGTAGATATCTAGATGGTTTGTACGCAAGAATTATGAGGGTACTCTATACAATCATAATTCAGGTGAGTGTGTGTGTGTGTGTGTGTATATATTATATATATATATGATTATTCTCAATAAATTAAATTAAGAATGGAGTTGGAGTACTTTTTTGGTATCTATCCCGTCAGATTATATGCCGATAATATTGTCGGTTAAATTTTGTAGTGACAGGACTGAATGTTTTGGAATAGTTAAGTTCAGAAACATGGAGCTTCCTTTTAAATTTCTGAGTTGACGTCTTTTTAACACCAGAGATCGATTTGAGTAAATGTCAGAGTTACAAAATCTTTGCTTCATTTATTGACAGAAGATTTGAGACTACCAGTGATTAATTGACTGGAAGAAATGCGAGCTCTCTTTGAACTACTTTAATTCATCGAGACGACTATCGGGTAACAACATACACCACCAGGGTGTTTAATCTGTGGAGCCACTAGATTAAATTTAACGGTTCCAATCGATTAAGTAGTAAGTATTTATGAGTGGTTAAGAAATCATGAAGTCTATAAATTTACCACCAAAAAAAAAAAAAAAAATCAATACAATCAGTAAGAATGCACAATTAAATAAGATGGAAATTGATGTGACATATATATAAAAGAAGATAAAAGCCATCCCTAAGTTTTAGCTGGTATATTTTGAGTTATTATTTTTCTCTTTTCATCATTTAGTGTTAAACTTCAGATGTCTCCGAAATAAAATCGATTTTATTATATTGTTTTCGTTCAACAAGTTAAAGTGAGTTACTCCATGTCCCCCAGAAAAAAAAAAAACCCCACATTGAATTGTGGACATTGTCTCAAAATTCAAATGTGATTTTTAATTTTTTTTTTTTTTTTTAACTCAAACTTGCTAACATCCCAAAATTTCCGACCTAACAATTTTACCTATTTTAAGCTAACAGTCAGCTTTTCAATAAGTTTAAGACTTTGGACTCAGACACAAGAAACTAAAGACTTCATGACTTTAACATCATCATCAATTCATCATCGTGTTAAAAAAACAAAACACATTATAAGGAAATAGTCAAAAAATGGAGCATATAAAGTATTGTCCGGTCATACATAGTCATCATCAAACACCAGCAGTGATATAAATCGTAAAGCGACGACTAACAATTTGCGTGACAACCCACATGATGATGATATTATAAAGAAGAAGAAGAAAAAAAAAAGGGAGCAGGGAGAGGGAGGAAGATGCATCTTTTGGGTTTCTAAATTTGTAAACATAATCTTGGTCCGAATCAAGGGTTTTATAGTGACATTTATGGTCATTTTCTGCGAAGTTTTTGGGTTGATATGCATTTGCATGGCCCATATTATGCAAAATTTCGCTATCTATCTTACGTTTGATTTTAGACTTTAACAGTCATATGTAATTTCCCTCATCACTAATTGATGATGATTTATCATATGTCTTAAGATAAATTTAGGTTCCGTTTATGTTAAGTTACTAATACTCGGATAGAAATTTGTTTCTTAATCAGAGGGTTTCACTTGGTTGTGGTTTTTTTCTTGTTGGTTGTGTATTTTTGAGAAAACAATGTTCATATATATTATCTATAATTAGATTAAACACAATCGGTGCTCTAAGGGTCAAACTAGTTTTAGACTTTAGACACGATGTTTATTATCGTCTCCGTTTCAAAGAAGAAAATGTCATATTTGTTAATCACAAAAGAATACCACCAAGCATATATATATACCTTGTATATTATAGAACAGAAAGAATGTCTTCAACTTCGATTGATTCTTTCATCTATCTAATTATTGTCCATATTAAGTAGGAACTAAATCAACGTACAAAAGTATATTTTAATTTTCAAGTGTATCGGTTAATGATTGGTTTTATCAATCTAAATAAGACATACTCCCTCCGTCGTCCCATAATTATTGTCCAGTTTAGGTTTTCATTTTTAGTTCAAATTGTACTAAAAGTGAAATCTCAAACTGGACAATAATTTTGGGACAGAGAGGGAGTATTATGAAAGAAGTAGACAATTTGAGCTTCCATGGAATATGGAGGATGGAACTTCAAAGTCTTCAAAATTCTCCATCATTAGATAATTAATCAATGTTATGAAAGAAGTACATACTGTGAATTTATGCAAGACACGAGATTATAATTGAACAAAACACACTCATAGAATTAAATTGCAAAAACATTTTTTTCTTTCTAAGTTTTCCTTTTGATTCCAGAAAATCTTAGAATTTTGACTAAACCTAAAAAACCAATGTAGCAATATCCGGCTATAAATGACAAAATTGTTTCTTTCTGGCCAAATCCCAAGTTCGCATTTGTTAACTGAAGGCAAATCATCATCAATGAGTAAAAATTGTTATAGTAAAATTGACAAACATCATCAATGAGTAAAGATTGATAAACAATAGAAACATGGTTAATGTCTTTTCACAGTGATGACGTGTCCAAGTGTTATAGGCTACTGTTTGCAGATCATGGTGACCAACCAGGAGCACCATCATCCGTACAACTCCAGCAGACAGCACAGTAACTTTAGCCAGGAATGGACACGTGTCATGGTAGGAGTGGTGAATCAGTGACATAAATCGGACGGTCTGAGGGCTGCTCAGCGGAGCAAAGAAGGCGGCGCGTGACTAGCGAACTTAAAAACACTGTGCAATTATTAGACAGCGCAACCACAGAGCAGCAGTCAGGACTGGAAGATGCCCAAGGGATAATTGACTGCTTGCTTACTTTACCTTTCTTTTAAATTTTGTAATAAACATTTATAATTGCCTAATTTTTAAGTCCTTGGTTGATAGATACTATTCTCCTCTCCCTCCAAAAAATAATTCACATCAATACAAATCTGAAAACTCAATTTTAGATTTTTTTTTTTTTTTTGGGTCGAGAGAGAAAATAATATTTAGGAGTTTGATATTGTAATTTTATTTTCCCAAAACTTTATTATCTCGTCTTTGTGTTTGTTTTGTGAAATCAAAATATCATTCATGGAGTAGTGAATAATGTTATCCTTAAATGGAGAAATAAGGCCGTTATCTTCAATAAAACAATATTTGATTATTGACCTACAATTGAACTAATTAAGTTAGAGTTGGAAAATGTTGAGATAGCCTACTCGCCTTGAATTACATTAATATAGACAAAGACAAAACTCTAGATATTGTGGAGCTGCGTGGGAATGAATTTTGTTGCTTATGACTTTATGAGCTGTGTCCCCTTGCTGTATTTTATTGTTTGGTCATAACACATTGTAATTTATTTATTTATTTTTTTTGTAGTATAAAGTGTAAATAAAAAACGGGAGCTGCAAATTTGTAATATCAAAAGGTGGGACAGAGGGCCTGAGGCCCATTTTGGAACATTTGAATCATTTCAGTACCAAACATGTCTGCCATGTCATGTTATTCGTCAACTCTATCCACCAATCCTCTCTATGAGAAACTTCGCATTGGGCCTTAAAGCCTGAAAAGCCGGAAATTACATTTCGGCCAACTCGTTCACGCAAGATGTAAAACGGACGATTATACAATTTCAGTTTTATAAATATCCTCTCATTTCAATTTCAGTCGACAACATTATATGTATCCGTTTAAATATTTAGTTTGACAAGGCATGATCAAGGCATAATCAACTAGATGACATGTAATATTTTCTTTTCTGATTAAAATTAGATTTTTTTTTTTTTAGAAAAATAAAGAAAGTCGACTCTGCTACTGCTAATTAGACTGTACGATGCTTCAAAGTTCAAAATAAGTACTCGAGTCGAGACAATGGACCTTTTATGTATTGTAAAGCATTTTAAGAGTCATCAAATGAAGTTGATGATCACGAATTAATGCTTTTTCTCTGTTTTTAATTTTCATGACATTTTCTTGAAGTAAAAGATCTCCTACACCATAATTCTATATCATTTTCTACATTATTAACTGAAATTTTGACTCATGACTCCGGCATGTTAATCCAAACATATATAGATTGGTGAAAGAATTCTTAAATACTCAAGATTTATGTTGAAGTATGACGAATATTTAAGATACATGCACAATCGGATATTAATTAAGGTATCATACCGATGAAAAAATAATTATTACTTTTGTGCAGGTTTACATTGAGATTTCATATTTATATCAAAAACAGTATAAATCTAAAAATTCAATACAAAAGATCTTTTTGGAACTGATGCGATGGAGAGTATTTTATAAGAATCCCATTACATAAATCGAATAAACTAAAAAAACTAAAAAACCTTTTAGGAGTACAACTTTTCTACAGCGGTCAAACTAGGAGGAACAATATTCCTATTCTACGTACATAAGCTTCTAGAGAAAAGCAATTTATCCCAAAGATGATTAGCATGTCCAAGTGTCATGTACGTAAGAAATCTATTGCCCATATATGGCCATTTCATAGCAACGTTTTAATACAGCAACTGATGTGACATTCATTCATTAGCTATTGATATCTTAATAAGAATTGAGTAATAAAAATCAACATATGAGAAGTCGTTGTGACGCCGTTTAGGCGATGTACACTCCATTGTCGCCTTTATCGAAATCAAAAAAATAAGGACCCAAAGGAGCTTGATTTTGGTTGGCTAACTTGCTGCAATCATAAGTCGATGCTTGTTCACCAAAACCAACATTTTGTTGATCATCAAAGTTCCATAACCAACTCCATAAACCATCCATGGGGATGAAATCTGACCATGACTGCGCTTCATTGTACTGTAAAGCCAAGTTGGTTGGATTTTCCAGAGATGTAGGATATGTAGGTGGTATGGCTTGCTGCAGGAGTCCATTCTGCTCGGGATCGGATATAACTTCCGACGACTGCGATTCAGGCGATATTACCTTCTCCGATCCGTCTGCCTGGCCATTCTCATCCTGGTGATTTTTCGCTTTGGTTATCATTCTTCTCTTGCCTTTCTTCTCAGAAGGTTTGGCCTTTTTCTTGAAATGAGTTCTCCAGTAATTCTTGATCTCGTTGTCTGTTCTTCCTGGCAAGTATCGAGCTATGGTTGACCATCTACCAATTTCAAGCAAACAATACTATCAATTTTCGGAAAACAAACAATATTATTAGTTGAGCGGAAAATCTAAACTGAATAATAATTTTGAGACGAATTGAGAACAAAGTAGAAAATTCAAACTGAACAATAATTTTAGTACGGAAGGAGTAAAATAGTTCAACAACAGTTCAAGTTCAACAAAACTTCTAGAAAACTTCCTGAAAAGAATAGATCACAGGTCAAAAAAACAGGTAGAGTTGAAAGAGGAGCAGAACAATACTTGTTACCCCACAAAGCGTGAAGTTCGATAATGATGCCTTCTTCTTGAGGGGTCAAATGGCCTCTTATGAGTCCTGGTCTCAAGTAATTCACCCATCTCAGTCTGCAACTCTTTCCGCTCCTGTTCAGTCCTACAAATCATCATCATCAAATCAATCAAATATTATTAATCCTGCAAAAATCCTAACTAAGAAACTTAATAAATATTAAAACTTAATAATCGTTACGTACGAGAATAATTTTTCCATGATATTAACAGTAGTTACAAATGAAATTAAACTATTTAGCTATGTAAGATCAATCATATGCACTTGTGATTTGTAGCTTGTTCCTCAGGTTTGGTTCAGAAAAGTTGAACTACAGAAACTCCAACTTCATGCATGCCCACGTGGACACAAGCATCATATCCAATATTTGCAAAAGTAGATAAAATTACCTTGTATTCCACTCTTAGGAAAAGAATAAAAAGGTAACAAAAAACATTGAACTTATTCCAGCAGAATATATTTATACCACATACATAAACTTCTTCATGATATCATTTCTTTTTGCTACATCATCGATTCATGCATGTTCATATCCTCATGACCATCTACTGTATGTTACATATTGATCATATTTTCATCTCGCAGAAATAGTCTATTGTATTGAACGAAAATGATCAGAAATGATACCTGCAGATCGTGCGACGGAACTCCATCTTCCCTCGCCATGCAAGTTAACATATTCAGTCAGCAACTTATCTTCTTCAGGTGTCCACGGTCCTTTCCTCCACCCTTGCTCTGAAACTCCCCAACCCATCATCAAACCTTAACTAAAAACCACTTAAGAATAATAACTCTAAACACAAATGAACTGTTTACTGAGATTAGGACTGTTTTCCGCCCACAGGATTAATATTCTAAGTTAAGTTCGTAATCTAGAATTCCTGTTTCCTTAGTCTATGACAGATAGATACTGATGACCACGTAAATCCCGTCATGTTCATATATATAGACAATACACTTGTGTTTCTAATCCGGGGCCTAATCAACACTCAATTATTATTAATTAATTTAAAAGTAGAGTAATAATTATCTTAGAAAGGGTTTTTGTTCCTCGTTGTTTTAAATTTATGATGATCAAAGGAAAGTCATTATCGGGGTTGAAAGTATTTTTACTACGTGTAGCTGCTCAATGCTTTTGGTTAGATTCTGAATCAATAAGGGCTCAACATCTGTACCCTTAAAAACCTTAAAAAAAACTCAAGTACAGAACAAAAGAAGAAACACGAGGACAAAGTTCAATTACCCCATTTGTGATGTTCCATGACATCAAGCCGTAAAATAGAGTGTGTTGTTGTTGGTATGTCTCTTCGAAAACGGCATCTTACCCAATCAATATCTAACATTTGTTTACATACATGAACCCTAAAAAAAATGCATTACTTAATTACAAGATAATTATGAGGCTGCTATGCGCATAATTATACATATATAAATCAGATCATCTGTCTCAAAATTTGCACGTATCAAGTGCGTTCCGTAAATGAGACGACATAGTTTATTTTACTTAATGTTATTTAACCATGCAACATTTAACAGTACAAACTCCAATATCAAAAACTTACGCTAATTTATCAATAGATCGATAATGAGACACAACTGTAACACAATAAAAAAACACGAACAGATGAAGTGTATAGTTGCAAAGCATTAAGAAGCTTCTGGGATACTAAATTGGGTAATTTGTTCAATAGAATAATTAAAAGGAGGATCAGACAAATGAGTTGGGTCTTGGACACGTGGTACTAGTTCGTGGTTGATTACTATTTGTAGAATAATTAAACCATTTCCTAATTCTACTTTAAGATTATTAATTTAATGGAACATGATGAGTTGATGACCATTTATAGGTAATGATGTGTGATTCCACTTCCTATTGTAAGATTTTCCCACCAAGATTTTGCCAAAGACCCCTTCAAAGATCTGGTTCAAAGTAGCCAGCATGTTGCTGATGCATGATCAATATCACTAATAAAACATTTATATCTGTGGTGGAGATTGGGAAAATGTGTTCGATTTGATAGTGCTCAAAAGCAAGAAAAATATGGAATTTTTCTGGGTCGTCTTTCTTTGAGGTTTGGAGAGTTTGGACTTTTATTAAGATTTGAGGTCCCAATTAGCTCTTTTATTAGCTTTCGAAAGTGGAGTCAGTCATCTTTAACCTTCCTTATTGTGTACGGAAATCCACTCATCCTTTTTTTCGGTTTAATTAACACAATTATAAGTACTTAGTTTAAATCTCCTCCCAATAACAAATAATTACTTGGTACTTACTGCACTTTTTCTTAGTATCTTCGAGAAAGAATTACCAGCTACTCCAATTAGCATTGCCCACAAAGTTGTCTGGCTTCTAGTACATTTGTAATTGTGAATAAATATACATTTAGGGTTCATTGGCAGATCAGACAATATTAGTCACAATAAACTTTCGTCTTATCACAAATATTCCCTTAATGAATTTAAATTTTATGTAAAAAGACATTAAAATAATACCACTTAAGTTTTTTCTGGAGCCGTTAGTGACACCGCTAATATTATTTAGTAGCTTATATAAATACAAATGAAATTGTAATTAATCGTAAACCACTTTTATTTCTGGAGAAAATTTTTAGTTCGATTCCTCCCGGTTAAACAGAGGCGCTATTTCGCCATATGGGCATTCCCAGGTGAGATACCAACTTAAAAACTTATAATAAGAGTGATGATATATATGGAAATTTGTAAAAAAAAAATTACAAGAATGATGTGATTGAATTTTAAATATTCCTTAACCCTTAAATTTAGAATTTTAATGTGAACAATTATGATTCGTGCAATTATTTATAAGATTTTTCCTGCACTAATCATTATTATCTCTTTTTTTTTAAAGAAAAAATAGGATTGCATTCATATATGCTAGAAATCGTCCAGCTACTTTTGATAAAAAGTTGCAGGCAAATGCAACCAAATAGTACATTCATCATAGCCATCCTTAGCATAAACAACAAAAATCATATGCTAGGGAATTAAAGTTACAGCTAATGCAAAAAATTCCTAATGGACAAGTCGACTTGATCAGGGAATAGATGGCATCCATCACCGTACCTAAATCATTGGGATTTGGGGGTTGTTCTTGGGCTGCAAGGACATCATTGGTAGCATCTCCCATGATTGAGAAAGTTTCAAACTTGTGGTTTAGCGCCATTTCAACCCCTCCTTCAGCGCCAACGCTTCAGCTATGCTTGGATCCTGTATGCCCAGAAACTTTCTTGAGACTCCTCTGACAAAGTTCCCATCGCCATTTATGCAGCAAACTCCAACACCCGCGCAACGATGCAATCTGGAGATGGCTCTATTGACGAGTCAGAATTAAATCCTAGGTCTATTGGGCCTAGGGTTAGATAACTTAAAGGCTAAGTCACCGCTAAAATCTATTCCGACTAGATTTACAGAAGCATGTAACACCACCTCTATATAAAGAGGTGGTGCCTCTCTCATAATTGATATCTTCTACCTATCTTCTACACCTTCTATACACGATACGCATCACTCTCTCTATTCTCTCTATTCCTTTATTGACTTAAGTATCAGAGACTCTACCCTCGGGAGACACCCGAGGCTCTGTTTTGCAAGTTTTAGGCCGTCCACCGCCACCTAGGTCATCATCGCCCCCCGTCCTAAGTGCCGTACAAATCCAAATTTCGTCAAGTGGCATGTCCGGTGGGACAGATTTGTTTGATCCTTACAACCAAATAAATTTCTTGAAATGAAGCTGAAATTTATTGGTGCTTTACGCAGTGCAATATCAGCAGCGTCATGGCACAAGAAAAATAGCAAACAACTGCTACTGTCGCTAAAAAAGACAAGGAGGCAACTCTGGTAAAACCATCCTCTAACAGGCCATCTGGTGGTTTGTTTGATCAAAACCTCATGGAGGCCTTTTCCAAATTTCAACCTACCTTGTTCGACAAGTTCCAAGATTTTGTGAAAAGCTTTCATGAACTCGACAGCAACCAGTGACAGCTCTTGGTCGACAATCTGGGTACCTTCTCGAAAGAGGACACCTCTCGAGGACATCACCTTGTAACTCGAGAAGAAACCCATCCTCCTCGAGTGAATGTACCTCCGCCTCGAGTACCCTCAACCATTAAGGAACAACTGCATAAGGTTCTTGGATCTGAAGGAGGCTAGGAGAAGGATGATAGTCTATTCATCCAACGTATCCGAGAAACACCCATGCCCGAGAAATTTGAACTTTCGGATTTAAAGGCTTATGTAGGAGATACCGATCCTATGGTTTTCTTACAGATTTATAAGAGTGCTATGAGATTAAGAAATTCTTCAAACGATTTCATGTGCAAGGCGTTCCCTACCTATCTCACAGGGCAAGCTCAACTTTGGTTTGGAAAACTACCTCCAAGGAGTATCCGGTCGTTTTATGAGTTGGGAACCTTGTTCCACATTAGGTCTTTTCAAGGAAAAAAGATTCGCAAGACGATTACTGAGTTAATGTCTCTCAAGCAAGAACAAAAAAGTCTATTGGAGCTTATTATAGCCGTTTCACCAAAGAACAACTCCAAGTCGAAGGAATATATGAAGAAACGGTTATCGCAACCTTCACCAATGGTCTTTATCCATATGGGGCGCTTGCAACTCTCAGACAGAAGTTGACAAAGGAGCCACCGCATACATTATAACAACTCTTCTCGATCATTGAGACCGAAGTTTGAGCCGAAGAAGATCTCCGTCGAGCAAGAGACAACCTGAATATTTGCAAAAAACAGATTCTCGAGAACAAAGCTAAAGGATCAGAGGAAGATTATGGCCGAGAGCAAAACAAGGGGCATGATCGAGACAAGGGGCATGATTGAGAAAAGCGCAAGTTCAACAGTACAGAGTACACACCTTTAACTCGTTCTCGAGCAGAAATATTACAAATCCATAAGAACGAGTTAGAGACTCCACCGCCTATGCTTGCTCCTCCTTATAGAAGACCACAACATTTATGGTACGAGTTTCATAAGGATCACAGACATAAAACAAAAGACTGCAATGCTTTAAAGGATCAAATCGAAGAAGGACTTAAGAAAGGCAAATTCCAAGAGTATTTGCAACCTTCTGTTTCACAAGAAAACCAAGGCCAAGAAGAACCTTGAATCCATATCAGATAAGGTTAATTATTAGCCATAAGAGACAAACTCCACATTTATATTTTTCGCACTTTTAAATATTTCTTGTCAACGACTTCAATGATTATCTTATCATTGAGAATTTATTATATTATTAACTTTATCCTGAGATTAACCATCTCATGGATTCAAATTCTCGCGGTCCACAATACAAACAAGGATAGTCTGGGTCCACCGCGCAAACAAGGATACTCGCAGTCCACCGTGGAAACAAGAATACCCGCGGTCCACCGTGCAACCAATATCTTATATAGGTGACACTTGAGAACAAAAGAGTTCGAGAACTGGGGCAACACCACGAAACCCGAGAAGACATCAACACTCGTAGCAACCCATATTCTTCTCATCGAGTCTCGAGAATATGGCTTGCTAGTGGCACTTGACGAGTTTGAATTAAACCCTAGGCCTATTGGGTCTAGGGTTAGATAACTTAAATGCTAAGTCATCGGCGAAACCTATTCCGACTAGGTTTACAGAAACAAGTAACACCACCTCTATATAAAGAGGTGGTGCCTCTCCCATAATTGATATCTTCTACCTATCTTCTACACCTTCTACACACGATACACATCTCTCTCTCTCTCTCTATTCTCTCTATTCCTTTATTGAGTTAAGTATTGGAAAGTCTACCCTCGGGAGATACCCGAGACTCTGTCTTGCAGGTTTTAGGCCGTCCGCCACTGTCTAGGTTATCATCACCGCCCGTCCTAAGCACCGTACAAATCC